GTTAAGACCCTATGTGGGTTTTTACAGAGGGAAACTTTTGTATGAGGCGCCAAAGCTTTTGTGATCGCTATTCTCAATTGTTTGATCTGAATAAATATTTGTAATCATTTCAATTATAATGTCCAGCTCGCGATTATTTTTATTTCTTTTTTTTTATATAAATTATTTTTATATAAAATTTGGGGACTTGCCTACTTCTTATATGGGCACCAAATACAAATAAGGAAAAAAATTTATTGATAAAAATAAATGATTAAATACAAATGTAACTTTCAGGGTATTTTGAGCATCTTGTTTTATCATGAATATTCTTTCTCTTTAAAATTATTATCCCAAATAACCCCTTGATTCTATAGATATCCCATTGAACCCTCAAATTAAACAAAAAATGACGTTTAATCCCCTCCTTACCTTTTCTATTGTCCAAATTATAGAATTTATCTTTCTTTTTTTCTTAATCACCATGTTAATAGAAAAACTCTCTCCCTTTCTCTTTCACTTTTTCCCTCACCCGTAAACCTTTTCCTCTCTTTCTCTCTCTAACAACCTTTCTTGAATATTTATCTCTCTCTATCTCTGTCTCTCGCTTTCTCTCTCTTCTCATCTCATGAACCTCACAAGTAAGTTAAAAGAGGCATCACAAACTCAATTTCTATGATAAGGTTATTATAAAAAAAAAAAAAGGTAAATTATGTAATTTGGACAATGAGAAAGATATCAGTTTTTGTTCAACTTGGGGGGCTCCATGGGCTTTTTATAAGACCAGGGGATTATTTGAGATTAAAAAAGTTTTAGAGATGGGGTACACATCGTTGTCCCAATTTTTTATTAGGTACGAAGTGAATAGGCTCCAAATTTAACATCAAATCGATAGATAAAACGGGGGGAAAAAAAAAATCAAACACAATATACACTATGAGTTGTCTGATCAAGCACTCAAATGTGAACTTGGGACATTATTAACTAAAGCTATCACAACCATCCATTAGATTGGATGGTTAGCCATAGCAATTATATGTTCTATATGTGGTGAAGCCTCATTTGACTCTACTTTTTGTATGGAATTCATTAGGGATTTCAGTGTGGAATGATAGCATGTTCCCCCTCTAAACCCTCACATCTGATTCAGGTGGGCGGAACATCATGTTTGGCATTTGGGGGAACACACTGCTCTTTTGTTACATAAGGTTGTGCACCTAAAAATCCATAAAAAAAGATTATTTTTATATCAAATATCCCTCTAATTGGTCATCTCAACATTGAAATGCAAGACTATGAAAAGACAAAGATTTTGAATCCCAAAAATAATTCATCTTGCAACACATCATTTGGACCATCCATTTTCAAAATTTTCATATGTTTATAGATCTAATTGATTTGAATCATTTTTTAAGTTTAAAATTTTATCGTTAGAGATAAAAATGAATTCTCATACCATCCTAAGAATTTTTTACATCAAAATTATATCTTATGATAAAATTTGGAGGTGTGCCTTACGTTGATTGTTTAAGGTTGTGACCTTGTGCAAACAAGACCTTTTTTTTTTATTTTTTACTTCCAGTAAATTAATCGAATACAAATTTTTCCCTGCCATCCAATTGCGTACTAAGTTTCTAAAAGCGATGTGGTTTATTGATGTTCACCATAAATGGTGAAGGCTCTCCATGTAATGGGTTTTATTAATGTTCACCATATTCACTATTTTTGTTTACTTTTTATAGGTAGCTCAATTATATTTTAGAAGTTAGTGTCCTGAAATTTCATTAGTACAATACCAGTATCTTTTGGTGAGAATTTCGATTTTCCCCATAAATGACAAAAGTACCAATTATCTTTTGGGATTGTATATTATGATACTGTTTATTTTTTGTATAAGAAGGCTACAATCACTCTTAGCCATTGGACATGATATTTAATAGATTGAAATGTGTCACGATATTCAAAAAAAATTGTTTTTGGACATTGTGCCTAGTCAATGATATATTTCCAATGATACAATTAATAGTAGTTGTCACTTCTTTGTACCAAAAGTAAATGGTCTCTTTGTGAACATTTTGTTTATCTTTTAGTAATAGTTACACACTAGGTATTTACAACCAAATCTTGAGAAGATCTCAGGTAAAATCATCTTTGATTTATGCTCAATCTAAATCAATTTAAAATTTGGAAAGAAAGATCGAGATCTGTCGATTTACATCATATGAGAAGATGAGTTTGCAACAGCAAGACTTCTCCTCATACACCATTGGCAAAGCCGGTTTGAGATCATGTAAAATCAAGAAAAGAAACTAGGAAAACTAAAATAAAATAAAAATAAAAAATAAAATAAAATAAAATGAAAATTAAGAGAGAATTACTTGGAAGCTGGTCTTGATTTCTAGCACCCGAAGTTGGTGGTTTGGATTTGACTAATCATTGAAGCTTTTTTATCTTCGACCCTGGATAAATTTGCTTGAATCTGATAAGATTTCAACTTAAAAGAGGAATTTTACTTGGGCATGATCTTCCTAGGGTTTTGATTGCTTAGGAGATGATCTTCCTAGGGTTTTGATTGCTTAGGGCATGTTCCTTCTGAGACTTAATTTAGAGCTTCATGACTTGTATTTAACTGCAAAGAATTAGGATTTTATGACCCAAGTTTTCTAATATTTGAATGTCTTAATGTTAGGGAAGACCTAGGCTCTAGGGTTTTTAACTTTCTAAGGTTTCTTTAGCCTAAGAGTTTTAAGTTAAGGCATCACGAAGGTGTTTATATAGGCTTGCTAGATATTGAATTTGGAATAGGAGTCCCAAGAGTTTTAGGTCTTCTAGGGCTTCTAAAGTTTGACTTTTGACCAAATAATTCAGAATCCTAGGGCTACTAGAACTCCCAAGACCCCTGAAAGTCAATCCCTCATAAGTATAACAGAAAGGAACATATTTAGAGGAAGTCCTATCAACAGTAGATTGGGCTCCTTAGAAAATCTAGAGGCAATTGGGCACAACAGGGAGATGCGATCAAATGGTTGAATATGCATGTTACTGTTTGAATTTTAATATTTATTTTTATAAATCATATCAATATGAAATTTTGGTCGTGTCTTCTGCATATCAGCGCGCACAAGAATAAAATAAGACAAATAGTTCATAAAACTTAAAATGACCAAACTAGCCATAGAATATGGTGGGGGTAATTTGATCATTTTAATTTTTTGAAAATTATTTTTTGCATTTTTATATGGTGTGTGATAGTATCAAGTAGATACACCTAAAATTACAGGTTCATCTAATTTGTAAAAAAAAACTAAAATTAAAATTTAAGCTATGACAAATATTTTCAACCATCTGATCAAGATCTAAAATTTAAAAGCACAATATAAACTCTTGTTCATTTAGATAACAAAGTATTGGTAGTTTTTAGCCATGCATATATGGGACAATCTATGGTTTACAATTTTTCATCATTATCATCAGAGCTTTTTTTTAACTATTTGGGGTCGGCTATAAATACCTTCATGCTCTCGTAACATAGGCAGACACCTAAAGCTCTCCAATACAGTTGGAATCGCAATGCTCAGGTTCCAAAAGTTATGCCACTTTTAACTTGAATTAGAAACTACCAAATAGTGAACAATTTCTCACTCCAACACAATTTCTTGCTCCAATTCCCACAGTTCCTTGCTCCAACCTGACCAAATAGCATTGCCGATCAGAAGGCAAGACAGTTTAGGCCTTGCCTCATGTAAGCTCACCTGTCAAACTTCACCACCTTCTTCACAGGAATAGCCATTCAACATGTCACAGGGATTGACCAAAATTCCGGAGCCATGGGGTATATGATGGGCTTACACCCCATCGACTTAGAAGTCGTTAGCACACATTGCATGTGATAACAAAACCAGTGAATGTGGGCATTTAGGTACTCTGTGCTTTGGCTAATACCGCATCGTATTCGGCTACATCGTACTTGTCCCGATTTTGTGCGTGCATTAGGCTCGTAGGCCACACAGATGAAGCAAGACTGATTTACCAATATGATGGGGGGGGAAAGGGAAAAGCAAGGATGAAGGAAATAGCAAGTGATTGAATGAGTGATGGGAATAGTGAAACAAAGAGAAGGTCGTGGGGTAGAGTAATTGGTGTTTCTTTCCTGATGGCCTCCTGTTCAAGGACTCATATACCTTATGGAACCACAAACGAAATGACTTCTTCGGAGAGGCGACTTTTATACATTAGATCCTCAAAGGGCCCCAATCGCAGGGCACTTTCACACATTAGAACCTCAAAGGGCCCCATGCCATGAATAAGAATAAACTGGGAGGTTTGGGCACAATACTTTATTGCACGCATTTTACTCTGCAACATAACTTCAAGATTTTCTGCACATGTAGCCCACATAGCAGACAGAGCAATGGATACACTAATAGATTTGCTCTCCTGGGACTCAAAAATGGGCTGATCTCCAAAATGCGATTTCCAAAATAAGCTATACGTCACAGACACGAAAGGGAATACAAAATGAAATGGGCACAAGAAGTAGTAATGGGAGATACGTTATTGCACCTAATTCTGAACTTGCGGCAAAATCTTGCCAAGGAATTTTTTTTGGCAAGGATCATATTTGATCACGTACCCACCTTTTGAGAATCTTTTGGAAATTTTTCTTTTTTCGGTGAAAATTTAGACAACAAAGAGCTTTTGTATGCACCTCTGCCATCCCCTTTCCCCGAGCTAGGCTCACAACTATCTTACTGGACTTACACTTGGAGTTATGTTCCTTGAATTAAGGATATACAATGCTCAATTTTAACCTTAGCTTATTTTCCTTCAATAATCTTCTTGTTGGCGTATTCACCCAAAAATGTTCTTGTTTTAAAATTAGTTATTATAAATTTCATTCACCCATGAGCGATTACAAGGAGGTTCAAGATTAGGTGGTGTAACCACCGAGGAGTTTTTTAAATTAGTTATTATGTAAAGTACCAACAATTGGTGTACACCACTCTTTACTAAAACATCAGCTTCCATATTAGCTTCTCTAAAACAATAAGATAACTTAAAATGAAAAAAAAAATTTCGTCAAAAATCCTGCATAATCTCCAAGATGGTTTCATTTCTCCTTTTGCCCAAGCAATGATATTGCTTGAATCATCTTCAATCATCTTTTGGCCTTCAAGATTCTTTATTATTTTTAAACCTTCCGAGAAAGCTTTTGCCTTAGTTTCGTTCACTGTTGTATGTCCACATGGCCCCGAATAGGTGAACTTGTAGTTACCCATTTGATCTCTAATAGTACCGCCAAAACCTGCAGGGCCTGAATTTCTAATCAAACTTCCATCAAAGTTGAGTTTTATATAATTTTAATGAGGAGGCATCCAACTAACATTTCATACATTTTTGTTATTCCCTCATCCTGAATTATGCTTATTGTTGGTGTCTCGTGTTTGCTGTCTTCTTTTGTGTTGACCTCTGCCATTCCCTCATCTTGAATTATGCTTCTGAGTGCCTTTGATTTGAGCTGTGTCCTTTGAAAAAGGAAGGCAAAAATTTCATTTTAAGCGTTGCTAATTTTTATTCAAAATCTTCTTTTTGGTTTCTCTTATATTTCTCTGAAAGTACATTTCTAATGTTAGGCATTTAAGTCCAATCTATGAAAGGGGTTAATGTTGTCTTATGGTAGCATGCTTGAAATTTTCCATGAAAAGCATTACAGTTACTTAAAATTTTTGTTTTTCAGGATCCATATTTCTTTAAGGAACAAGTCGAGGGTGAGAAAGGAGTCCTATAATCAGATGCAAACTTCTTTTAGTTTTTATAGGATTTTTAAAAAGTACAGAATTTAGACCCAGATAACGGGATTATTGGTTAAGATGCATGGATATTGGTATATGCTTAAATTGCCGTTGTTGCAAGTGCCAAAACTCGATTCTGCTGCAATACTTGTAATTACAAAATGACAAACTATAAAAATCATAGTATGAAATCATGGGTGCGATCATACCAGAACTAATATACCGGAACGCATCAGAACTCCAAAGTTAAGCATACTTGGGCAAGAGAATTCTTTCTAGGTGACATCGTGGGAAGTCCTTGTGTCGCATCCCTGTTTGCAGCCTCCTCCTCCCCTTTTTTATATGTGACAAAAAAAAAAAATATTGAACTATGCATTATGATGTGGTATATATATATATATATATATATATATCAATGCGTTCGATAGATAGCTTAATGCATTCTACAATTATGCATTTTGTCAATGTGTTGGATAGATAGCTTACTACATTCTACATGCTGTAATATTATTGAGAAATTTACCAAAATATGCCTCAGTTTTTCTACTTTTCAACTCAAAATCATAAGTAATGCAATTATGAATCTCATGGAGAATTCGATCCAGACTCAAGATGAATGTTGGCGGCACACTTAACACATGCAAGTTGGACGGGAAGTGGTATTTCCCGTGGTGGACGGTGAGTAACGTGTAAGAACCAACTGGAAACAGCTGCTAATACCCCGTAGGCTGAGGAGCGGCTCACATCTGATTAGCTAGTTGGTGAGGCAATAGTTTACCGAGGCGATGATCTGGCCTGAGAGGATGATCAGCCACACTGGGACTAAGACACGGCCCATACTCCTATGGGAGGCAGCAATGGGGAATTTTCCACAATGGGCAAAAGCCTGACAAAGCAATGCTGGGTGGAGGTAGAAGGCCCATGGGTCGTGAACTTATTTTCCCAGAGAAGAAGCAATGACGGTATCCGAGGAATAAGCATCAGCTAACTCTGTGCCAGCAGTCGCGGTAAGACAGAGGATGCGAGCGTTATCCCGAATGATTGGGCATAAAGCATGTGTAGGTAGCTTTACAAGTCCGCCGTCAAATCCCAGGGCTCAACCCTAGACATGCGGTGGAAACTAACAAATTGGAGTATGGTAAGGGCAAGTATGAACATATGAGTAACGGGATTGTCTACTATGAAACCATTTGCTTTTGGTACAAGGAGGTCACAATCACTTTTAGCCATTGGCTATGAAATCCAATAAACTAAAGTGTGTCACGACGTTTAAAAATTTTTATTTTGGACATCGTGTCCAACTAATGACACATCATCAACCGCTCGATTTCACATCCAACAATTAATAATGGTTGTGACCTTTTTCTATAACAAAAAAATGGTTTTATTGTATGCATTTCTCGAACTCCATTCTCACCAAAGGGTAGGGGCCCAAATCCCCACTGACTTTCCACTTTGGGAATGGGGTTGAGGTCGTGGTGGTAGAACCACTTGTGCCTCAGCTACTAGTCTAAGTTTCTACTCCCACTTACGCATTCAAAAACCACTAATTATTTCTAAAAATAGGTAGGAGCTGTAGTAGTACCAAAAAAAGCTAAATAATTAATATGTTAAGTGTATTCCGACAAATTTTCCATATATGCGTGTTAGTTAAGATACTCGTACCATAATTGTGGGTGTGATTTTGAAAGATGCTGAGTTGTATTCCTATTCTACGTATCTGTATCTCTACCACTACGTGTATTTGGGCTTCTTAGATCGGTGGACCACTGCCTTAGTGCTACATAGATGAGTACACAGAGTTCATATTATCATTGTCCACTCCATTTAAGAAAATTTTCATGTGCAAACTTTTTTCTTGGTCCCTCGGCCATATCCATGGCTTGAGATCCTATCATTTGCAGAAATTTAGTATTTAAGCTTTTTATATTCTAGGTCTTCCTAGTTTTCAAATTTAGTTAAGTAGACCTTAGATGTCCAATTCATTTTAGCCCATCAAGCATTGATCACTTACTAATATGGTAGGAAAAATCTAATTCCTTAATTCTTATCATGGTTTTAAAACTCGTCCAAGTCAACTCAGACTTGTCTGAGTCACTTTGACAACAGCCGAGTTTCAAAGTACAAAATTGGTTATAAAAAAATTAAAATTAAAATATTTCAAAATTATATTTTCTTAAAATCATTGTCATCAACTATATAGAATCTTGTTTCACCATTATGCTCTATCAATGGCCATACATTCATTATGACTATAAGTCCTCATATCTTATCTTATTACTTCCATCCATGTTCTTTTGGGCTTTCCCTTTGTTCTTTTAGAGCCTTCCACTTGAACCAAGTTGCACCTCCTAACTAATGTTGTATTAGATCTATGCTACATATGACTAGTCTACTTAAGTTTATTTTTCCTCATTTTATCGCCTATTAAAGCCACATAAATTCTTTGAATATATTCATTTTGAATACTATCATTTCTTGTCTTACTATTCATACAGCGCAACATACTCATCTGAGCTACACTCGTCTTTTCTTGTCTTGCTGAATTCCATCATTTATACGAAATCAATTTATAAGTATTTTATACATAATTTTGATATTTATGAGATTTTTCTTATCAAGTGGTATATTTTTCTGAATTGTTTCCGGCTATAAAACAATTTCTTACTAAATTCATCTCTTATATATTTTTTCATCTTTCTTGAACTATTAATACAGTTATAGTTTAGTTTGCTTTTGGGTTTTTCTTTTTTTTTTTTTAATAGGGGTTTCCAGTGCTTGGAATTGCATTTTTGGAGCTGCAGCCCACCTTTTTCATGATGCCACTAAGTTATACAAATCGCACCTATATATATATGTGTGTATGTGTGTGTGTACACACACACCAGGTTGGATCAATTAACCCCGACCTAGACCGGACCTGTTGACCCAACCCAATCCAATCTGGGTGGAACTCATACCCAATCTACTCTAGGTCTAGTGGATAGATCCAAACCTTGACCGGATTCAATGGTTGGCTCAACCTAAACTTAGCAGGCAAATGCATTTCCAGTGTCGAAAGCCCCTACAATAGCCTAGATATCTATTTCCACCCCTAATTATGAACTTGAATACTCTAAAGATCTCATCGATCAAGCAGATCTATAAACACTTCAAAATCTTGAAATTGGATGGTCCAAATTATGTATTACACAAGATGCATTATTTTTACTTTTAGGATTTAAAATCTTTTCTTTTCATATCTATACATCTACATGTCAAGATGATCACTGTGAGGGTTCCCAGAGCCGGAACAACTTTTTTGTTAAGGTGCACCTACTTTTACAGTATAAAATCAACACCATATATAAACGTCTTGCCAAAAGTAGAGCGAATGTATTACACACTGACAAAGATAACTTCCACATGCATTTTAAAGCCACCAATCCCAAAACAGCCTTAGATTATCCTACTAGAGGAGCACCACATTGTCTGCCTCTTGTTCAAGTCCTTCGCCATAACGTTGCAGGGAATAAATCTACAAAGTCTATTCTATTCCAAGAACTGCCTAAAATGCTGGAATATTCATCAGATGAATCAGTGTTGGCCCTTGGTCCCCAAAATCCCCCAGTATGAAAGAGAAAGCTCCAATAACCATTACAAGGTTGTAACTCTAAACCTCTAATACTGCTTCCAAGAGTTTTAATAGGACTGGACATAAAGGATACAATTTTAAATGCCTTGGGTTATCTTGTTTGGAGTATCAAAATTGCATGGCAATAGAAGAATGTCAAACCAAGAAATTTTAAGTGTTTTGGATAGTGCAGTTTCGAGGTTCCTTCTTTTTGTTTCATTTTTCTCATTTTACAAAAACAAATCAAAGCAAGGAGCAATGGAGAATAGGCATTCCCAGAATCAGGACTTGTCCAAGCCCTGGAGGTTCTGGCCAGAGCCTTAAGATGGAGGATGAGTAAGCTGAATGTGCTTTGGGTAATCTAGTCACATCTTTAAATTCAAGCACCATGGTGCATGATGGGTAAACGATACGATTAACAACTTGATTATCTCATGGGTTACAACTAGAAAAGGGTTTTGGATATTCGGTAGCAGACTTTGAGACAAGTGGCAAGAATAATGTCGAGCAGGCCTAACCAGATAAGTTGCTCAGGTAAATGGGTTTCACCTAAGGCAATCAAATTGAATTTTGATGGAAGCTCAGAAAGGAAAGCACGGCCAGCTGGTGTTAAAGCAGTATAAGGTGATCATCTAGGGAGGGTTCTAATGTTCTATTCTCGGTTCCACTGATAACTTGGGATGCAAATGAACCTGAAGCATGGCCCTGCTTATTGAACTAAGAAATCGATAGTCATTATGAACTTACAGAAGAAGGGGGGTCCTTTAACGTCCTACATTGGGAAAGTAGAAAGACTTTACAGGAGGCTATCAGGCATAGCATTGGAAAACTTTCTAGTTGATCAACAACCACGATATCTCCTTTCGCCATTAATGGAGGGAGACAAATGAGATTACTGATCAACTAGAAAGGGATGGATGTTGAAGACTTCACTTGAGAATTTTGTAGACATAAGGTAACATATTGGACTGCCAAAATGCTAGGCTCAGGCTAGGTCCTGGCCAGGAAATATACTTGTGGCCTGGGTGCAGGCCAAATATACCACTGAGGCCCAAGCTAGGCCCAAAAGTTAATCGGTTGGGCCAGGTTTGGACTTGTTTTGGTGACATAAATGTATGTGTGCATTACACAATGTTTGGGCTCAGGCCAAAGCTAGGCTGAGCTTGTTGTGCATGGAAGCTCTAAAATGCAATGAGTTGATTTTTGGCAAATAAAGAGCAAAAAAAAACACAGCCGGCAACAAGAAAAATAAGAAGGAAGGAAATACCGCAAAAAGAAGACCAAGATTTTATGTAGTTCATCTCAAAGGGCCACGACCACACGCATGGCAGATTGAAATCCATTGTACAAACGAGAATACATCATATATTGAGATACAAAAGGTATCTTACAATCAACGACAATATTCACTAAAACAACCCTTGAAACCACTCTCTCGACCGATATCACATATTATTCTCATTCTTTTTACTTCTAACAACTATTATCGAACAGACCAGATAGAGATACGAAAGCAACAAGCAACTTACATTCTCTCTACAAAGGGGATATCACCCAGAACCCCCATGTGAACCGATTCCTACAAAAATCAAGTCTCTCTTTCCAAAAGAGGCATGGGAAAACCGTTTCTCTCACTAGAAGCTCATTTCTCCCTCTAGAGGCTCCTTCAGGGGTTTCTCCTTCTCTTTGCAGGAGCTTGCCTCGCCCTAGAGGAAAGTC